TCTCTTCAAAGATGCATCAAAATAATTTCTTGCCCCAGACTTTGTGGCTCAGTTAGTTGGGCATCGTCCCACACAACAAAAAGTGTGCCTGTTCCATTCGTGGTCAGGGCACATGCCACATGGGCTCAATCCCTACTAGGGGGCGTGCAGGAGGCAGCTGATTGATGTTCCACTCTCACAAAGATGTTTCTCTTTTTATCTTCCCCTCCTTCCTCTCACTCTAAAAACCAATACAAATATTTTTTAAATAATTTATTCTATTATTACTATTGGACACTGATATATTTCCTCAAAGGTATAGACAAGAATTGTTTTATTTAACAAAGGATAAGCTTTACCCCCTAAAATATACATTTAAAGTATTAGTTTATTCAGTCATAAGGCTCTTATGACAAAGGAGACCTGCAAAAGTATCCAGTCATTCCCTTTCATTTTACAAATGAGGAAGGTGAAGACCACAAAGTCTTTGAACTTCTGGTAAATCTCCCTTTCTATTTACCACATTGCCCATGAACAGAGTTCATATTGGAGAATGCCATGAATAAATAATTTGTAACTGCAGTGTTATTATTGTGCAAAAAAAATCATTGAATGTATCAGAATTCTCTAATAGAAAATGAGACATTGTTTGCACCCACACATGTATTTGGGTTCTAAAAATAATTTATTCTGTTATTACTATTGGACACTTTCTTTGATTACTGTGTAAATGAAAAATAGAAATCCTTATCATTTCAGGCCTAATTCTACACCTGCTAATTGGATATCTCTTTATGGATTTAGTAAGCCAATATTCATGTTCCTAAGTAAACAGCTCCCTGATCGCATGCCTATGTCAAAGCTGGTTTTCCTTTTAATTGGTGGAATCAATGACCAAATCAGAGGTAGACAAGTTGACTTTGCAAAAGTTATCTAGGTTATAGTGAAAGAACTTTATACTTATTTTGGTAACAGCCCAAGAACTAATGGAAAGAAAACACAAATTTAGAATCATAAGGGGCTGAAATCCATCTTTTTTATCCTGACAGGAGTGCCCACATTATTCTGAACCATTCTGTTTTACATCTAATGCCAGGTTGACAAGTGTCCGTTTTTCATGCTTAATCATTCATCACCCATGTGTTCTCTCTGCCTGCAAGGCATGAGGCCTGCCTTCTATCACATCTTCCCGCGATAAGGATATGCTTAGAACATTACCCCTCCTCTGCTTGCAGCATAATATGGAGGAATACTGAAATGAGCAGCTGCTATGCGGGGCAGCCACAATATTTTCTAAGCTCATTATTCTACCTGAAAGCTAGAAAGGAAGTTTTATGACAGGAATTAAAAGAGTTTTGTTTTGTTTTTTTTTCCTGGAAGAAGTATTGCTTTGTGCAGGGTTACATGTGAGATCATTTTAGAAATTAGATAATATTTATAGTGAGTTTGAAGTCAAACCATTAAAACAAAATAATTATATGCTATTCCTCAGTAGTTCAGTTAGACCTGTCTCTTACAGTACATACCTCTGTCATATGGTCATTACTGGTATTCTCAATTAAGAAGCAAGGATCCTCCTAAGATGTGCCCTCACAGGGCAGGAATGTAAAAACTTTGCCAAAAAACTACACTATATTTTAAGAAAAATTATAACAATCATCATTCAAATCCATCCTCCATTAATGGTGCTGCTGACTTTTGTCACCATATAATTTTACAAAAGAACAAAATTTTTCAAAATGGTAATTTTCCCAGTTCCTGTCCACCCCATAACACAGCTTAGAGTCTATTCCCGACTCTCCTAATTTTCCCAAACCAAAGACTTCTTCCCTTTGATTCTTTGCTATATTTGCCCTGTTGGCCTCCCCATCTTCTTAAAACTTTATTTTTCTCTCGATTCCTATGACCCTTGTCTTTACTTCTTTCACCTGCTTCCTGGTTCACACCATGTCAGGTTTACTGGCAGCTCTTGAATGCTGGTGTCCTCTATTTTGTTGTTGTTGTTTTTATGCTTCAGTCTTTCCCCTGTGATGTCATCTGTTTTCAGTACTTCAGCTATCTCCTAAACAACAAAGCACAAATCTTCTACCCTGCTTTCTATTCCAAGCTCTAGATCCAGTGATAATCAAGTTGGGTGCATTGTTTTTTCCTCTCAGAAGACATAGCATTATCTGGAGCAATTTATTTTGTCATGGCTGGAAGAGGTGTTACTGGCTTCTAATGGATGGATTCTGGGGATGCTGCTAAGTACTATGCACAGAGAATTACCCAGTGCCAAATATCAACAGTGCAGAGGTTGAGAAATTGTGACCTGGATGTACTGGACTTTTCTATTTGCATATCCCACAGACACACAAAACTGAATATGGAACAGAATTAATTTGCTCTTTCCCTCTCTTTACTGCTCAATTCATTAGTAGTATTTAATAATGGTACCAACTTGTGCCGCACAAGCACAGCCAAGGGTTCGGCGAGCCTGAGGGAGGGACAGTGAATGATAAAGAATAAACTGACAAAGAGAATAAGTTGGGTCTAGGTGGATCTTCTATGCCTGGCTGAGGCCACAGAACAAATCCAGACTGCAAGCAAATGGTTTGTTTTATAGTCAGAGATAAACAAGGTAAGTTACAATGTTCTTATAAGTTTCACTTGTTTTGGCAGCACTTGTTGCATCTCCCATAGCCCATTAGCTACCCAGGAAGGATCTAGGGAGCAGTCATGAGATCAAGCTTAATAGTGCTTACCGGGCTGTGCCCTCCAAGCTGGGACTTGTTTGCAACTTTACCAGCAGGTCAGTCCAAGAATTAACTGCTCCCTTCACCAACTTAACAATTGCAATAGCTAAAAATATAGTATTATATTTGCCTCCTGGCATTTTTCAAACACCTAGGTCTTCTTTAAAATGTGTGATCTCTTTATTTCTAGAATTTGCTTTCTCCTCTTCCTGTCCACTATGAAAGGGCCTGATCATCCCTTGTGGTCTACTCAGATGGTTCCCAAACTACTTTCTGTCTCAACCCATCTGTCACATTGAGGGCAATATGACATCTGATCTCCTACCTTTGCTTAGAAACCTTTTAGGGTTTGCCATTCCTTCTCATGGCAGAAAGGCTTTTCATAAATAGATCTCAGTTTACCTTTCTTGTCTTGATTCTGTATCTTTCACATCTTCATCCTAAGCACCTAGTAGAGTGTTTACCTTAAGTAGATAATTAACAAATATTAAAGGCATTTGTTTTGACTATTTAGATATATATGTGCCTCACTTTTTCTCATTCTCAGCCTTCATTTTGTGATATGCTAGTAAATTTTACCAGAAGGAAGTAAAAATATTATTTAAGAACTAACTCCAGTCATTATGTCTTCACTCTACCCCACATCAGATTGATGTTTTCAGGATTATATTTCAAAAAGTAGATATATTCTGCCAGGAACCTTTTATTCCATAAAATGTATTCATTACTGTTCTTACTTTTATTAGTAGTTAGTATTTTACCAAAATTGTTAACTTAATGCAGATTGAAACAGAGAAGCTACAATATCAGAAGATAAAGATTAGGGGTATTTTTAATGTTTCTGTTGGAAGGACATGGCTTAATCAAAAGAGATGTTAAAGGGATGGGAATGGCAAAATAAGTATCAAATCAGGGGACACCACGTTCTAATGCAGCTCCATTGTTTTGCTGTGAGGCTTTGAGTAAGTTGCTAAACATGTTCCTTATGTGTAAATTAAGGACACGATTTAGATAACTTTCCATTTTAATAACTGTGGATTTTCAATGCTCACTTGTACAACATACTCAATTTTTTTTGATAATCCAATGAGAAGAGTCTTTCTGACAGAAATTTTGTCACTATTTGGAAAGTCTCTTGTCTTACCTCAGACCCACACACATTCATAATTTTCTCACAATCCCTAAGCTCTTGAAGGTTTTCTTTTGCCAAGAAATTCAACAAAATGACAAGTATATAACAATAATTTTTTTTTCTAAGTGCATTTTCCAGGTGGTGCTTTCTGATAGCTCTGTGAAAGACAGGGGTATATACTTCTAGAGCTTTGGGGGTTTTACTTACAGGCTGAAATGGTGCTTTTAGGTTCTTAAGTTTTCATCAGGGATATGAGTTAAAAGGACAGATACATTAATTTTTATTAACATAAAGAGGATAAAATTCCAATAAATTTTTATTGAAAGAAGCTGAATGATACAAGTATAAAATAAAAATTTCTGGTGTGCTGCTTCAAAGCTCTGGCTGAATCATTTTTTTTTTTTAACATTGGTATTTAAAATGACGAGCTAACTTCTAATATTTTTGTGTCCATCTATAACAATTTTTAAAAGTCTCCATATTGCTATGGCAACTACAACTATATAAGGACATAACTAGGTACTTGGTATATTTGGATAGAAAAGACTATTTAATTTTCTAATTGAAGAATGGCCACATTATTCTATAGTGAGAGATGCCAGACCCATTCGAACAGTTATTCTTTCCCCTGCCTCATGTTTGAGCTACCTCAAGAGGTTATAATCATGATTTTAGGATTCCAGCATTCTGATTTTAAACTTGCTTTTGAGCTCTTGAGCAAAATCTATCAGAGTTATTACAACTCTAATATTATTCATTGTGAAGAGAGAGGAAAATATTTATGTACATACAAACTTTGTATGTATAAAAATCATGACAATGGGGTTCTTTTGATTAAAAATTTGACCATGATCATCATAACGAAATGCAAGGAAAGAATATCACTAATTGTTAATATGATCTTCAAAGCATTCCAGTGAAGATTAAAGTTGGAATAACCTCTGAGTTTCGTAATTTCCATCACACAGAATATAGTCACCCAGGTGGCAGTACAGTATTAACATGTGGTGGGGTTTTTTTTGTTTGTTTGTTTGTTTTTTGTTTGTTTTTTTAAGGCACATGAAATAAAAAAATGGAAAAAGTTTATTGCACTTCCTATAGATAGATGCATGCAGATTAGTTTTGTCATGTATTTCATTGCCTCTGCTTTCCAGATCTACGCAAGACATTTGAGCAGGAGCCCCTGGGGAAGGAAGTATCCTTGGAACAGGAAGTTTTGCTCCAGTGTCGACCACCTGAAGGGATCCCAGTGGCAGAGGTGAGTAACAAAAATTCTTTGCATTTAGGAACTGGCACTGCGTTATTCTAACAGAGGCCTAATCTGTGGCTAATGGCGCAGTGAATTAGGGTATGGAATGATGAATGGTTGGTAATGGAGTCCTAACTGCCTGCTGCTGGCAAAATAGATTGATTGGGAACTGATTAATGACTTGGGAGTCAATTAGAATGCCCCACTGGACAAAGCCAGTCAGCGTGGTTTGATTTTTGTCATTCTCTTTCAAGAACTCAGAAATCCTGCTATATTTTATCTGGAGCTTATCATAGAGAGAAATGCTGTATCTTAAAAATGTACCATCAATTTTAGTACTATTCTTGATAAATATGCAAAACATATGTGTGTATATGTGTATATGTTTGTGTGTCAGTGAGCCTGTGCACTCCACATATGTATTTCCTATTCCATGATCTAATCATGAACATATACCTAAGAGCCGTATTCATACACCAGGAATAAAAACATGCTTGAAGAATGACAAGTGTCAATTAATTTCAACCTATAAGCTTTCCATCAAAATCTTCATGTTCATTTTCTGTTTTTGCTAAAACAATGCCTATAGATTGCTAATGCAGTATTATAAAACAGATTTGTATCATGACTTTTCATTGGCACCATGCAATCCAGTGTTCTTGAAAATGCCTGACTAGGGGGGGACAGGCCTGCCAGAGAGCACCATACTCTTCCTGAGATCCTCCCATCATCCCAGAGCATACTACTGAGGAAAATCATCTAACACCATGTCTTTTATTTGTTAACAAATAATTTTAACAAACTGAAAAAGATCACCCTTTTATGATTACTGGGAAACATCCTAATACGCCTGAAGACACTATTACTCTCACCGACCCAGTATCCTAGAAGCCCAGAAAAACTTTAATTTGACAAAAATACATAACTGTCAATTGGTTGGTGGATCTTGTTAGCCTCCAAACTACCTTGAGTTCTTTGGGATTTTTACTTGTTATCGCATATATGTAAAGAGGCATTTCTGAAATTGTTGCAATTTGGACCTAAATATGGGTCAGCTGATATTTTGTAAAAATAAGCCCTGAATGAATCCTGTCGAAGAAATTGCAGAATACTACTTCTTTGACTTGCAACTTATCCAAAAACTATTTAATAGCTAACAGTGTACTTACTATTAGGTTTCCATTTTATTTTATTTTACTTTTCTGAAGGTTCAAGCAAAGGTGGGGGCCAGCTCAGTTAACTGGTCCCATGGGCAACAAATTTAGACATCTGATTGCTCTTCACTATTTAATAATAATGAATTAGTTAGAAATTTAAGCAGTGCCTTTACAAAATGACTCAATTTTTCTGTCACAACCATTCATATCTTCATGTGCATATGAAAAGACAGAAAGTGACACTCTTAATAAAAATTTCCTTTTTTACTTTGAAACAAGAGAGCTATTTTGCCTTGTCACTGGCATTCCATGGCATTTTCTAGCATCTTATCAGAGATTTTGCATAGTTATAGCTGCTTTTCCCAACCATACCAAATGATCTTCCAACCCTGACATGCAAAATGATTTACTGTGATTAGAAAGGAGGCAACTCTAGTGAATATTTCATTTCACATATTACAATAGTGCATCTGTCTCCTAATTGTATTTCTAAAACTCTACTGCAAACTCATCCACTAAACTACCTTAAAGACCAAAACACATCCTGGGGATTGCCGGGGAACATGGGTATCCATAACCTCATTTTGATTTGATGTTTCTTAAAGATATCTGATTGCTGCAAAGATGTTCAGTGAAAGAGCTTAGTAACTTTATGTTTTAGTGGTTCACTTTGTCAAGGAGTAAAAGATTTGTGGCTGCAAATGAAGTAGCTATAAATTTTACTTGTATCACCACTGGGGAAGAGACCAATTCACACTTGGCAAGCTCAAAAATCATATAACTATTGGCATTCAAAGAACTATATGTAATGTTTTTTTTTTTTTTTTTTTTTTTTTTTTTTAAGTCAGAGGAGCGATCAAAGATACATACTGGAGAACAGGCTAATAAACTCCTATGTTAGATTCTTTTCAAACCCTTAGAATCACCAAGATCTGAAAGCTAATGAGTAACTTAACATGACACATTACAAGGATGATTTACTCAAGAGTGGCAAATAAAAAAAAATTTTTTTAAAGGGATGAAATGTAACTATGTGAGCTTAAAGATCATAAGATTATTTTAACTTACTGATAAATGCAATTATTATTTAATACTCTATTTATTTATTTTTTTGAGGAATCTAAATACATAAAAGTAGCATAAGGTGGAATATTAATCTTAAAGAAAAACCAGCAGGTAAAACTCTTATGTTTCACCATGAATAAAATCTGTCCTTAAGCTATCAGGCCACAGGGCAAGATTTTTTACTCCTTTTGTGCCAAAGGCAAATGATGCTGTAGAATTGGAATAGTACATGCTCAATGGAATCAATTGATGTTTGGTTTATGTTTCACTCCATTGGAGAAGTAGTCGGGTACATTCTTTGCAGAATATCAGAAAGCAATGATTTTCTTTCCTCCATGCAAGTTGGTAAGTTTCTAAAGAACTCTACTAACCTTAAGTTAAATGGTACCTATTTGGTGCAAATAATGCCAGAGGCATTTCTGAGGTAATAAATAACATTTCACTTCCTCCCCTCTTTTGGCTTTAGTCTTAACTTCAGAGTATTAAACTAATTTCCTTACAAAACTCCAGGTTTAAGCCCACCCATCACCATTTCAAACTCTGACTTTGAGCAAGGTATTTCAGTCCTCCTTACCTAAGTTTCCTTAGTTACACAATGGAGATCATGATAGCACCTATCCAGGATATAGTTGTAAAGTTTAAATGAGATAATATGATATGTGCAAACATGTAGAAAGCACTCAAGAAATATCAGCCATGATTAGTGCTAGTATTCTGTTATTACCTATTGATTCATAGAATCCTGACTTCAACCTCTAGAACTCAAAACAGTCACTGAGCACATTGTACCTCTGCCGGGAGCTGCGGGTGTGAGGGGCAAAGCCTCTGTCCTATGGAGGGTCACCAAGGTGCCCTCCAGCAGTTGATTAGAATCCATAAATGCTACAGGTGAAGGTATTGTGAGCTGTAAAGCAAGGAAACACCCTTATTAATGTAAATATATAATGTATCAATGACCAATACCTACAACAGGTCATGGTGTACTGCTGTCCTTACTCTGATTTTTTTTTTAAATATATTTTATTGATTTTGTACAGAGATGAAGGGAGAGAGATAGAGAGCTAGAAACATCGATGAGAGAGAGTCATTGATCAGCTGTCTCTTGCACACCCCCTACTGGGGATGTGCCTGCAACCAAGGTGCATGCCCTTGACCGTAATCGAACCCGGGTCCCTTCAGTCCCCAAGCCGATGCTCTATCCATTGAGCCAAACCGGTTTCGGCTTTACTCTTGATTTTTAAAGTTAATGTTCTCCATTTAGTCATCATAATCCCAAGACACTGGCCCAGCCCTCTTATTTCCTGAGTATGAGGAAATCTGGGCTGAGGGGGTACTGCTGGTAGTTCTTTTCAGAGAGAGGGAAAGAGATGACAAGGAAAGCCTCAGGGGAGGAAAGAGGCCCCACCAGGGTCCTATTCCATGTCCCCTTCAGCAATGACTGTTGAGACTAAGATTGGTCTCAACAGTCATTGCTGAAGGAAACCGATGTAGTGGGCATCGTGGTTCAGGGCTCCAGACCTGTTCGTTTCCTCCTCTGGTCTCCTTACTAAGCCCTGTCTTTATATCTATTGTATGTCTTTGAAATATTTAACAGCCCAGCCAGTGTGGCTCAGTGGTTGAGCCTTGACCCATGAATCAGGAGGTCACCAGTTCAATTCCTGGTCAGGGCCCATGCCCAGGTGGTAGGCTCCATCACTAGTAGGGGGCATGCAGGAGGCAGCCCATGGATGTCTCTCTCTCATCCATGTTTGTATCTCTCTATCCTTCTCCCTTCTTCTCTCTCTAAAATCCATTAAAAAACATATTTAAATTAAATTAAATATTTAACAAGCACACTGCTTCCTTAACACGGTACAGGGTCCGAGGGCCTTGTGCTAGAACCGCTATTAACACTTCAGCTGCTTAGTCCCAGGGAGTCAACTGGCACATGGGGGAGGGGAGGAGCCTGATGGGGGCACCCCGTTATTTAGCAGCAGATACAGAATGATGGCACTCAACACTTGGTGTGGACCCACCAGTGTGACTGGCTGAATGTCAGCCTCTCTGTACCATGACTGTAAGTAGCTCTGATTGCAACTAGTGTTCAAGTGTGCCTGTTTACTCCTTGGCTGCCTAATTATATAGATGGCAATAAAATAGGAGCAAAAGGGGTTTTTATGTTTATCTCTAATACCAGCTGATGGTAGGTTCCTCAGTAGATTCTCTTAAGTATGTTTAACTGAGAAATAAAGAGTCCCCAATGGATGTGGCATAGAGGCTGCAACTCAGGGAATGGAACATTGCAGAAAAAAAGGGTATTTGTCCCCTCTGGTGATGCAACCTACAGAGAGAGCGTAGTGTACCGCGGAGGTTCCAACCCAGCAGGACGGGAACTAAAAGGCCATTGAGAGTCACTTTCGTTCGAGGATACAGGGCGGTTTAACAGCAATCAATGTTAAAAGTCTAGACTGAGTGAAAGAAAGAAAAACGATGACTGGAAATACTCTAAAGTGGTATTGCTCTGTATTTTTAATAACTCTTTTGCTAGGATCTCTGCAAAAATGTTCTGTGGAGGCATGTACCCTGCTTTCAACAGAAATCTCCCCATCTCCCTGAAGAAGCCAGGAAATGAATGCCCCTGTGCACAGTGCGGGGCAGCTTCACCTGCAGAGCCCCGGCATTCTACGATATGAAATGAGCCCCTCTTTGCTCCTTGTAGTTCATGCCTAGAAAATATTGCTATCACTTGGTGAGCCAGAAATGCACCCAGAGATGCTTTATGTCCTTGGGTTGTCTCTTTTGGAGAGT